TAAGTATATATATAATATTCGTCTTTAGCCTTGTTTTTTATCGTCATTTTGTCCATTTTTCAATTTTTCAAAATATTTAGTTTGATGGAAATATCTTTGAAAATTATGCCTTATTATTATTTCAGGTAAAAATCTGGTTTCAAAACCATCGTTACAAATGTAAGCGTCAAGAAAAGGAAAGAAAAATGACGGACGGCACTAGAGCTAGAGGTGAAAGCCAATCGCCTGGACCATCCAGAACACCAACTCCCCTGGATGGAAGTAGCATCGAAAAGTTCGTTATAATTTATTTGTTTCCTAGTGGTTTTTTTGGAATAACAGTGCAGTAATAGTGAATGATACTTGAATAATTTATATTGAAGCAGCAACCTGTTATATTTTGAGATGCAAATAGCAACGAAAAAAAAATTATTGCTCTTAAAATTTCTAGCTTATTAAGCCCACAGTCTGGCTTTCAGCGAAGCTTTCTATTATTCAGTTTCATTGGTTACTGTAAATTTATTGCTACTGTTATTCGCCAGTGTCGCACAAAGCCCACAACTTCAAAATTTTAGGAAAATGAATGTATCAATACTGGTGAAAGATGGAAAGCGTTGTGATAATGCTAGTGCTGTCGGTGGACCAGATACAAATCCAGAACATCTGCTGAATTTGAGTGCCCTGCCTGACGGTTTACCAGATTTGAAGAATCAGTTTTATCAACAAGTAAAACACATTTTTTTCCCATTTTCATACCATTTGATACACATATTAAAAAAGTTGCTAATGCTACAGATTTTCCTATCAATTAATTTTTTTAATAAATACATCTTTTAAACAAACACATCTTTTGTCCCGAATATTTCTGTCCAAAACATGCATATATTTCGCTTTTGAAGACAAGCAAGCTAATTCCCGTCGCTGGGTTTGTGTATACATTGAAATCTTATTTCAGTTGGCCAACTCATTACCATTCAGGTGACCCAGAACAGTTACATATCCTTTTATTCCTAAAACCTTTCAGCTCTTTTCAAAATTATAGCATTAATTCGAACATGCTTCTTTTAACCACTCTTCCATTTATAAATTCACAAAAGGAGTTACTGGTGTTGTAGACTTTTTTTTCAAGTCGTTAGCGACGCGCACCGGGCGGGCCCGTGAGATCATGCGTTTTGCAATATTTCGTGCTGTAATGAGATCACTCGGAAATCCGATAGATAGAAGTGTGTGATACACTGGTCCTCGAAGTCCGAAAAGCTAATAATCTGCGCAGTATTTGAAGAGGGAACATTCCGTTAAAATTTTAGCTTTCCAAGATTTTTTGGTTCTTGAGTTAGCAATTTTCCTGCAAAAAATTTTCATGGGGCTGTACTTGAGCACCACTCACACTGAATGGCTGAATTTAATAACTGTAAGTTGAATTTGTGCTGGGAACATTCTCTGAAAGTTTCAGCTCCCTAACCTTTCTGTTTCCTGAGTTAGCCATTTTTGTGCCAAAACTTCCACGAGGCCGTACGTGAGAACCACGCATTCCTGGAAGCTGAGTTTGATAAATTTAAGCTGGACATGTGCTAGGAACATTGCCTGAAAATTTCAACCTCCCAGCTTTCTGGTTCCCAAGTTAGCGATTTTCGCACCAGGAGTCCTCACGGGGCCATACGCGGGAACCACGTACACTTGGCGACTGAATTTGGAATCCTTGAGTTTTATTTGGATGGGGCACATTTCCTCAAAATTACAGCATTCTAGCTTTTCTGGTTCTCGAGTTAGCGATTTCCCCGCCAGAACTTTCACTCTTTCGTGCGCGGGACCCAGACTTGCGTGAGAGCTAGTACCGCGGTCCTGAGGTGGCACTGGGCCGTGGAAGCCACTGGCAAAATTTTGGCGCCGAAGCTTGCTTAGGTGTCGAGTTGAAATATCCGGGCAGAGCGCACACACACACACACACACACACACACACCGGGATCGCCACAATATGCGTTTTTGCATTTGCATATAAGCAAAAACGCATAAAAATGACTCGAATAAATATATCTTTTACCTGCACGTCTGCCTTTCGTTCTTTTCAGTCGAATTTCTTGAAATTTTCAGTTTCAAGTTCTGGTCAGTCGTTATGATCACATCCGTAATTTTAAGCTGGTATTTTTTATACGCCATGACCTGGTATTTTATACGTCTAGCTCAAGAGTACGTGTAGAAGGGAATAGCTCGATGCAGATTTCACAATATCGTTGATTTCCTCAAAATGTTAGAACAGAAGGATCGTGTGCATCTACTTCTTCAATGTTACTTTGCTAAAGATAATTACGAACGCGAAGCACGGTTACTGTTTAAATTTGAAGGGCTAGCGCTGATCGTGACGGAGAGAGCAGTGAAACGAAAAATGCTTTATGCATGTTTATTCCTGGCCATTTAAAACAGTCAGACTCTCAGCCAGATGAATGACTTGAGGAATGTTGTTATGACCACGTGAGAAGAGGGTTCGATTAGCAAGGCGTCTTGCTTTGTTTAATGAAAGTCGATGAGAAACACGGTATTAGTGAATGGTGTCTGCGCGAAAAGAAGCAGTCACTTGCATGTCCTCTAAAAAGGTCAGGAACCCAGATGGAAAAGATGACGGGAACTGACTGAAAGTATGCAGCCTAGAATAGAAGAGCATGGATACTTGTGCCGGGTTTGTGGGTGCACCCCAGTAACTTCATTAACACAGAATACCCACGTTGCTTGTCTGGGTGGTCTTGGCATTCTTGGTATTTTTGCAGCTTTTACTACACAGTCTGCAGCAAATTTGTCAGTTCTGTCACTTCGAAAAATGAAAGTATTATGCTCAGCAGTTCATCAGTTATCACTTTGATGTTGCCATATTTATCGGTCTTTTTTCCACTAGTCTCAAATTCCAAATGAAATTCACTGAATGTTTGTTGAAATCGAAAGAAGTTGGCAGATTGATATATTTATTTTAACGGAGCAGCAAAGGCGCCTCTGGATGAGATTCACAATTAGCAAATAACGGCAAAAAACTGGCGTGGGCAAGCAGCATGCTGAGTTTTCACGTACTGGTAAACACAGATTCACCAAAATTTAGCGGAATATTTTCAGGCGATGTGTCAGCCAGGCAATGTGTATCAGCAGAGTGCATTCCCGTTTCCGCCATTCGGTGCACAACCCTATCCAGCAGCTCAAAACCCATATTACCCATATTATGCAAAGTAGAACTGATATTTGTAAAAACGACCTCTTGTTGTTATCATAATATTTATATTTTATTAAAACGTATTGGAAATATCCTATTAAAGGGAGCAATATAATTAAGCAAAGTTTGTGAGTAAATGATATTACAACGGATTCGAACGACGCAAATGGAATAGAGATTTAAGGGATGCAATGGAACCTCAGCAGCAGCGAGCAATGTTTTTTGATCTGAACTGCTGCTTACTGAAGTGTTTAAATTGCCCAAATATCATTTGTTTCAGCAAAAAAGGTAGCTGTATTGTACGGAACGCTGCACATAATTACATCCCTAGAACTGCCAGGGGTCTTAAATTCCGAATTTTTCCATTTTCAGAATTAAATCAGTTGTTTTTTCGAGAGCATAAAATTTCACCTGTTCAGACTCACAATTCAGATTTCGATAATTTTAGCTTTTCGCATTCGTATTCATTTCATATCTTGTAAAATCAAGCAGCAACCGTGATATCGTATCTTCTCCCAAACCAAACAAAATTTCCACTTCAAGCATGAGATAAATGTGTTGCGTTCGGCCAAAATTTTTCATTCATTAGTCCGTTTTGTATTAACTGAATTAACCTCGGAATATTATAATTAACATTTGGAAAGAACTGAGGTTGGGCGGATCAAAACTGTTATCTTAATAAAGATAAGCAATAACTTGGTTCCTTCGTTTGTTGTTTGTGTGAAGAATGTAAGTTTGCATTTATTCATCATGTTTCTTATTTCCTACTGTTGTTGGTGCTTTTTATAATTCGTTCATTTTGAGCATATTTTTTTAGAAGTTGCCTCTGACACTTAAAATTATTTTTTGTTCCCAGTGCGGAAATTGTTAAAATCTCAAGTGTTGTGCACAAGATTCAAAAGCTAGAAGCAAAATTTCCAAGCATGCAAATTTTTGGACCCTGTTTGTGCTAAATTTATTTGTTCGGCAGAATATATTAGATACTGTGGCGGTAGCGATCAAAGATCTCTCTTTCTCTCTGTTTTGTGACTGTGTATTCAAAACTGTTGACTTATTTTGAATGTATTAATTAATATTTTGGCGCTATTTGTACAGCAACAATAAAGCTTTCATTAGCTTTTCATACCTTATTGAATGTGATTCCAGATTTGGCTTTTTGCAAGTTTTGTATGTTTGGCGCTCTGGTGCCTTAAGCGACTGATTAGACAAAACGGAAAATAAAGGAATGTGTTATCAACATAGTTTGTTTGGTTGGTTCTTTGTGGAACACAGCTGAAATTGAAACTAAAAGTTTGCATTTTGGAAACTTCGATAGTGGCGAGTCATTTGTGTGCGTCAGAAGAGACAACTGTTCGTCCGGGTAATTGGCAGTGGTTCAACTTTCTCAAACTACTAAGCTTTTTTTATTTTACTTAATAAGCCCGCAATGTCCTGTACCTTTCCGTGACCTTCTTACTTATTTTGGCACTTTTCTACCATCCTCTGTGGCCTTTCATTTTTTTTTTTT